AACAAAAACTCAAAAACTGAGAAACTGAAAAAGTTGCAAATCTAAAATTAAAGAAAAATTAAAAAATTAAAAAATTATGAAGTCAAAAAATTTAATTCTAAAAGTGAAAATCGAAAAATTGAAAAATCAAAAGAATTAAAGAAACCAAACACCAACAAATTTAAAAGTCGTCAACTGAGAAAAACAAAAAATTAAAAACTGAGAAATTAAAAAAATTATCGCTGAAGACATGAAAAACCGAAAAATTAAAAAATGGAACTGAAAAATTGAAAAATTGGACATTATAAAGTATAAAACTTAAAAATCGAGAATTCGTAAAATCGAAAAATTGTAGAAGCCGGGAATTGAAAAATTCGAAGTTGAAAAATTTAACAGTTCTAGTGCAAACTTGAAAAATTGCAAAATTAGAAAACTGAAGAAACAAAAATTGAAAAATTTACTTCTCGAATGTAAAAACAAAAACTCAAAAACTGAGAAACTGAAAAATTTTAACACTGAAGAACTGAAAAAAAGCAAAATAAAAAATTAAATAACTGGAAACTGAAAAATCGAAAAATATACATCGAGAAATGAAAAATACAAAAATTGAATAAACTCAAAATTCAATTATCAAAAAAAAAGTGAACAATTTTAAAAGTTGCAAATCTAAAATTACAGAAAAATTAAAAAATCGACCATTGTGATGTCAAAAAATTGCATTCTAAAATTAAAAATCGAAAAATTGAAAAATCAAAATAATACAAAATCGAAAAAATTAAGAACCCAAAAATTGACGAATTTAAAAATTGAGAAATTGATTAATTTAACGCTGAAGACATGAAAAATAGAAAATCGAAAAATTGTAGAACCCATGAATTGAAAAATTCAGAGTTGAAAAATTTAACAGTTTTAGTGCAAACTTGAAAAATTGCAAAATTATAAAATTGAAGAAACAGAAATTGAAAAATTTACTGATTTAAAACTTCTCGAACGGGGAAAACAAAAACTCAAAATTTGAGGAGCTGAGAATTTTAACACTGAAGACTTGAAAAAGAGCAAAATAAAAAATTAAATAAATGGAAACTGAAAAATCGAAAAATATACATCGAGAAATGAAAAATACAAAAATTGAATAAACTCAAAATTCATTTATCAAAAAAAAAGTGAACACTTTTAAATTCAACTCTCGCAAAGTTGCAAATCTAAAATTACAGAAAAATTAAAAAATCGAACACTTGTGAAGTCAAAAAATTGCATTCTAAAAGTGAAAATCGAAAAATTGAAAAATCAAAAGAATATAAAATCGAAAAAATTGAATATTCGAAAAATTACCAAAAAAATTAAAAATCAAGATACGGTAAAAAAGAATTATTAAAAATTCGAAAAATTGCAAATCGAAAAATTCACGTTTCATTTCGAAAAACTGAAAAATTAAATAAATAAAAAATCGTAAAATCAAAAAATTGCAAATCGAAAAACTGCAGAAATAAAAAATTTTAAAATTGAAACTGAAAGATTTTAAATTGAACTCCAAAAGATGCGAATCTAAAATTACAGAAAAACGGAAAAATTGAAAAATGGTAAAGTCAAAAAATTGTGTCCTAAAATAAAAAAATCGAAAAACTAAAAAATCAAAAGAATCCAAAACCGAAAAATTGCAACATTGTAGAATTAAAGAGACCAAGAATTGAAAACTTGACTAATTTAAAAGTCGCCAAAAGGAAAAAACAAAGACTTAAAAATTCAGAATCTGAACAAATTTAACACTGAAGACTTGAAAAATTGCAAATGGAAAAATTAAGAAACTGCAGACTGACAAATCGAAAGATTAAAACATCGAGAACTGAAGAATCAAAAAATTGAAAAACTAGAAAGTGGAATCTAGAAAGTGAAATCAAAAATTCAGAAATTGAACATGAAAAATTGAATAAACTTTAAAATTGCTGAAAAACTAAGAAATCGAGAAATTAAAAATGGTTAAAATTAAAAATAGAGAAACTCAAGTTAGAAAAATTTTTAGGGGCCTGTTGTCGATTTTTTAAAGAACTTAAAAGGGTCATTAGGGTCTTTGGTGTTTGTTTTTAAGAATGTGGCATTTTCTAAGAAAAATTGCAAATCGGAAAATTAAGTCATCTAGAAATTAAATTAAATTAAGTTTAAAAATCGAATCTGAAAAATTTTTTCCCCAGAAGATGCGAATCTAAAATTCCAGAAAAACCGAAAAATTGTGAACTCAAAAAATTGCATTCCAAAATTGAAAAATCAAAAGAATACAAAATTGAAAAATTGCAAAATTATAAAATTAAGGAAATCAAAAACTGCAACATTTACAAATTTAAAATTCGTCAAATAGGGAAAACAAAACCTTGAAAATTGAGAAACTAGAAAATTTAACACTGAAGACTTGAAAAATGACAAATCGAAGAATTCAAAATCAATGAATCCAAATTCGAAAATTTGCAGTTGTAACATTAAAAAAGTGAAAAAAGTGAAAAATTGACAAATTTAAAAGCCGCCAAATGGAAAAAACAAAGACTTAAAAATTCAGAAAATGAAAATTTTAACACAAAAGAAAAACAATTAAAAAACTGATTTAAAGAACTCGAAAGGGTCATTAGGGTCTTTGGTGTTTGTTTATAAGAATGTGAAAGAATTTTTGGGCCCTTTGTTTAAAAAAAGTTTTGATGTAAAATAATCTTGGAAACCGCTGGTATTTTTCTAAGAAAACTGAAAAATTAAAAATCAACTGATAGATCGACAAATTGAAAAAACTAAAAATTAAATTATCTAAAAATTGCAAATCGGAATCTTGTAGAAATGAAAACTTGAAAAATTCAAAATTTGAGAATTGAAAATTTGAATATTCGAAAAACTGGCGACAAACTGAAAAGTCAAAAATTCACGAATTGAAAAATTGAAAAATTAAGTATCTAAAAGATCTTAAAATTGAAAACCGAAGAAATAAACAATGCAACATTCAAAAGTTTAAAAATCGAAACTGAAAAACTTTAAATTAAAACCTAGAAAAGCTTGAATCTACTTAAATTACACAAAAATGGAAAAATATAAAAATTTTGAAGTCAAAAAATCGCATTCCGAAATTGAAAAATCGAAAAATTGAAAAATCAGAACATAAAATCGAAAAATTGTAGAATTGCAAAATTAAAGAAACGAAAATTCGAAAAATTGACTAATTAAAAGTTTCCAAATGGAAAAAATAAAGACTTAAAAATTGAGAAAGTGAAAAATTTAACACAAAGACTTCAAAAATTGCAAATTAAAAAATTAAAAAACTGGAGACTGAAAAATCGAAAAATTAAAACAAAAAAAATTTAAAAAAAAATACATTGTCTAGAAACTGAAAATAAAAAAATTGAATCTCAAAAATTGCCAAAATACTGAAAAATCGAGAAATTAAAAAACGATAAATCAAAAAAGAGAAACCCAAAAATTGAAAGAATCTTTGAAGCCTTTTGTGTCTTTTTTTAATGTGAAAGAATCCTACTGGTGTTTTCCTAAGAAAAATTGCAAATCAAAAATGTTACAAATCAAGAAACTGAAAAATCGAAAAATTAAAAAAAACCTAAAAATTAAACAATCTAGAAACTGACAATAGAAAAATTGCAAATCGAAATATTGTAGAAATAGAAAGTATGAAAAATCAAAAAAACGAATAATTGAAAATTAAAATATGTACCTAGAAATTGAAAAATGAATTATTTTAAAATCGAAATATTAAAATATCTAGAAACTGAAAAAACGGAAATTGCTAATTGAAAAACTGAAATAAAAAATTGAAAACTTGGGCAACTAAAAAAAATTCAAAAATTCAAAAATTTAAAAAGCGAAAAGTGAAAAATTTTAAATTCAACTCTCGACATGTTGCGAATTTAAAATTGCAAAAAAAATTGAAAAATCGCAAAAATTGTCAAGTCAAAAATTTGCATTTGAAAAATCAATGGAATACAAAATTGAAAATTGCAAAATTGTATTTTTTTTAGTATCTTTTTTTATATGAAATAATTTTGGGAGCCCCTAATATATTTTTTCAAATATGTGAAGGAATGTTGTGGGACTCTTGCATCTTCTTTAAGAAATGTGGAAATCATTGTGTCTTTTTTCGAAAAAAGTTTGAAGAAATCTTAGGGATTCTCTTACGAGTCCGTTGTATCCTTTTCTTCAAGAAAGCGAAAGAATCTCGGGAGTCCTTGGCATTTTTTTGAAGAATCTAGAAGAATCTTTGGAGTCCTTTGTGCCTTTTTTACTAAACGTGAAAAATCTTGGAAACTCTTGTATCTTTTTAAAAAAAGGTTAAATAATGGAAGGAAGGAATCTTGGAATCCACTCATATTTTTTAAAAGGGTCCTTCGTGTGTTGTTTTGAAAGAGCTTTAAGGTTCTTAAGAGTTCATAGTGTCTTCTTTTAAGAATGTGAAAGCACATTGGTGATATCATCTCAAAATTCCGCTGGATAAATCATATTCAAATCCCATAAAGTGACGCTTTTGTTCCTGTGGTCACCGTTTATGACACATCCAGTCAAACCCCAATCGCCAGTCGAACAAATCCTGTCACATCCACCCTCCCAGAAGTGCATCCAGCCGCCTTCCAGCTCAAACCCCAGACAATAAAACCCGCCACATCTCCACTCCATTACAAATCGATTTTCCCCTGCATCGAAAATAAACAGAAAACAAACCGCCCTCCGTGCACCATTTCTTCTCGACCTGTCAGCCTCCCTTGAATAATAATCGCCCGTGCACCTGTTCGCCAACACCCAACAACCTAGACAATTTGCCAGAGAGCGAAAAAGCCGCAAAGTTCAGCCGACTCCTCGGCCGTAATAGATTTATGTAAAATTTTAAGCAAGCCGCCACACTAGCTAGCGTCCCACCGGGGGCGAACTTCGAACATGAATTGCAGTCGGTTTTTCGGCGACAGCGCCGTGGGCGAAGCCTTTGATACATTATGATTGATGGAGTGCGTTCCAGGCGTCGTTTTTTATTGTTTTTTAATTTCCAGGACGCCGATTTATCTCCTGTTCTGCGAGCGCTCAACGACGCCGTCATCCGCACCTTCCCGCTCCCGAGATACACCCCCGTCACCCACCGAGAGAAGATTCAGGCCTTCATCGCCGACCACTTCCCGGGCGCCTTCTATGACGTCATCTACTCCTGAAGGGGAGGAGCGGGCGGTTTTGTTGTGGTGTTGTGTGCGGGGACGTCGCAGCCCGGGGCTGCGAAGTAGTAAGGCGGAATTTTGAGGTAGTCAAAGTTTCGGCTTAGTTTAGGGCGGGGAGTGACCACTTCTATTCCTTATCTATGCTATGTTATGTAACGCGAACTATTGTTTAAGGTTTCTTTTCTATGTAGACGTACTGTTGCGAGTTGTTAAGTACTTTCTGCAAGTGACGTAGGAAATTTCGTGGCCGAGCCTAAATTGTTTCTGTAGATGCCTCTCTTGACAATAATGTGCTGGACTGTGAGAATAATACAGATGTAAGAAAACTGGATATTTACTTACTGGACAATAAATTTCACTAAAATCAAACGAGTTTTTTGTTAAAGTATCTAGATACAAATTGATCATAATAAGTAAAAAAAAAAAATGTTAGACAGGTAGACTCAATCTTATTCTGGATCTTTATGTCTCTAAACTTCGTCATAACAATTCGTATTCAATTCAAAAATTTCAAAAACCAAGAAACTAAAATAAATAAAAAAAGAAGAATTTAAATTGAAAATATGACAAATTATAAACTCGAAAAATTAAAAAATCATGAAATTATAGAAACGAAAAATTTCAAAAGTTAAAAATCAAACAAGTGGAAAACGAAAGATTAAAAATTGAGGAACTGAAAAAATCGAAAAACTGTAATTTTCAAAAAATTGCAAACCGAAAAACTGACGAAATGAAAAACTGAAAATTCAAAAGTTTAAAACTCGAAAAACTGAACAATTTACAACCCTCGATAAATTGCGAATCTACATAAAATTGAAAAAATTGAAAAAGCGAAAAATTGAAACCAATAATTAAAATAGGTATCTAAAAAAAAAAAACAATAGAAAAAATTAAAAAATCATCCTAAAATTAAAACATCTTAAAACTACAAAATCGAAAAATTCCAAAATTATGAATTGAAAGAAACGAAAAACTCCAAAACTGACAAAATTTAAAAATCGGTAAAAGGGAAACTGAATAATCGAAAAATGTATAAATTGGAAAAACGAAACATTGAAAAATTATAAATCTGGAGACTAAAAAATCGAAAAATTAAAAATCGAGAAAACTAAAAATTGAATTACCTAGAAACTGACTAAAAATTGCAAACCGAAATATTGTACAAACTGAAAATTGAAAAATTCAAAATTTGGGAAAAAGAAAAATTGAATATTCGAAAATTGCCAACAAACGGAAAAATCGAAATTTTAAAAATGGAGAAAGCGAAATACTGAAAAAAATTAAAATATCTACAAATTGAAAAAAAAATTGAATAAATAAAAAATTAAAATTTGGGTATTTGAAAAATTGAAAGATTGAATAACTAAAAAGTTCTAAAATAGAAAAATTTGAAAATCAAAAACTGAAAAAATTTAAACTGAACTCTCAAACAATTGCGAATTTAAAATTACAGAAAATTGAAACGAATAATAAAAACATCTAAAAATTGAATAATCAAAAATTGTGAAGTCAAAAATTGCATTCTAAAGTTGAAAAATAAAAAATTCGGAAAATCTAAAAATCGGTGAATCGAAAAATTGAAAAATTCAAAAGTTGAAAGGTTTTACAGTGAAGACTTGAAAAACTGTAAATAGAAAAATTAAAATAACTAGAAACTGAACTACCAAAATTTCAAATCGAAAAAATTAAAAAATGGCAAGGTAGAAAAATTGCAAATCAAAAACTGAAAAAATTTAAATTGAACTCTCAAAAACTTACGAATCTAAAATTACAGAAAATTGAAAAATCAAATAATTGAAACGAATACTAAAAATATCTAAAAATTGAATAATCACAAATTGTCCGGTCAAAAAATTTAAAAATCCTAAAATCTAAAAACCGATGAACCGGAAAATTTAAAAATTCAAAAGCTGAAAAATATTACAGTCAAGACTTGAAAAATTGCAAATCGCAAAAAAATTAAAAATCTGCAAACTGAATAATTGAAAAATTAAAAATCGAGGAAACTAAAAATTAAATTATTTCGAAATTGATAGTCGAAAAATTACAAACAAAATATTTAGAAATTAAAAATTGAAAAATTCAAAATTTGAAAAATAGAAAAATTGAATATTCGAAAAATTACCGACAAACTAAAAAGTCGGGATTTTAAAAATGAAGAAAGTGAAAATCGAAAAATTAAAAACCTGAAAACTGCAAAATCAAAACTTGAAACACGAATAATAATCGAAATATCAAAAAATTAAAATATCGAAACACTGAAGAAAAATTTTAAACTGAACTCTCAAAAACTTGCGAATCTAAAATTACAAAAAAAAATGAAAATAAAAAAATTAAAGCGAAGAATAATAATATCGAAAAATTAAAAAATCCAGAAACTGAAAACTCCGAAAATTAAACATCCAGAGATTGAAAAATCGAATAATTAAAATATCTACAAACTGAAAAAACGAAAAACTGCAAATCGAAAAACTGAAGAAATAAAAGAAATGAAAAATTGAAAAATTAAAAATTTTCTGAATCGAAAAACTAAAAAATTTAAAATTAAACTCTCGAAAACTTGCGAAAAAAATAAAAATGAAAAAATCGAAAAATTAAAAATTCAGAGATAGGAAAAACGAAAAATTAAAACATCGAGAACAGAAGAATCGAAAATTTGAAAACACTAAAAATTAAATTATCCAGAAACTGAAAATCTAAAAATTAAAAACAGCGAAACTGAAGAATCGAAAAACGAAAGAAATGAGAAATTGAAAAATTCAAAAGTTCAAAAATAAAAACTGAATAATTTTGAAAACTTACTAATCTAATTGAAGAAAAATTGAAAACGCGAAAAATTGTACAGAATAATAAAAGTTTCTAAAAATTGATTAATCGAACAACTGTAAAGTCAAAAATTTCATTCTAAAATTGAAAAATCGAAAAATTGAAACGAACAGTAAAAATATGTAAAAACTGAATAATCGAAAAATTGCTTCTGAAATTGAAACATCGAAAAAATTGAAAAATCAAGAGATTACAAAATCGAAAAATTGCAAAATTGTAAAATTAAAGAAACGAAAAATTGACAAGTGTAAAAGTTGCTAAATGGGAAAAACACAGACTTAAAAATTAAAAAAATTGAAAAATTTAACACTGAAGACATGAAAAATTGAAAATCGAAAAATTAACAACTGGAGACTGAAAAATCGAAAAATTAAACATCATGAAATATAAAACCGAAAAGTCGAGAATTCGTAAAATCGAAAAATTGCAGAGAGTGAAAATTCGAGTATAACTGAAAAATCGAAAAATTAAACATCAAGAAACCGAAAATGGAAAAATTAAAAATAAGAAAACTGTAAAATCGAAAAATTGATAAAACGAATAATTGAAAAATCAAAAAATATCTACAAATTGAAAAAATAAAAAATTACAAATCGAAAAATTGAAATGACAAAGATCGAAAAATAGTAAAAATGAAAAACTCAAAAACCAAAAAAATTAAAAATTCAAGAACTGAAAAATTTAACAATGAAGACTGCAAAAATTAAAAATCGAAAAATTAAAACGCCGAGAACTGAAAAATTAAAAACTTTGAAAAAACTAAAAATTAAATTGTCTAGAAATTGACAATTAAAACACTGAAGAAACGAAAAATTTAAAACACTTAAAAATTAGGAAATAGAAAAATTTAATACTGCAAAAATTGCCGAAAACTAAAAAATCGAGAAATTTAAAAGTGAGAAACTGCAAATCGAAAGACCAAAAACAGGGAAACTAAAAAATCGGAAAATTGAAAAACCGAAAAATTAAAATGTCTAGAAATTGAAGAAACGAAAAATTACAATTTGAAACGGAAAATAAAAATATCTAAAACATAAATAATCGAAAAATTGTAAAGTCAAAATTTGCATTCTAAACTGAAAAATCGAAAAATGTGAAGTCAAAAATTTGCATTTTTAAATTGGGAGACTGAAAAATTTAACATTGAAGAGTTGAAAAAAAAATAATTGTCAGTCAAAAAATGAAAAATGGAAGAACCCAAAAATTAAACTTAAAAAACAAAAATTTGTAAACCGAAAAAATGAATAAATGAAAATCTGAATAACTAAAAGATCGTAAAATAGAAACATAGCACATCGAAAAACTGAAAACAAAAACTGAACTCTGAAAAACTTGGGAATTTAAAATTACAGAAAATTGAAAAATCAAAAATTGAAACGAATAATTAAAATATCCAAAAGTGAACAATCAAAAATTGTCTTCTAAAATTGAAAAATCAAAAGAATATAAAACCAAAAAATTGAAAAACTGAAAAATTTAACCCCGAAGACTTGAAAATTGCAAATAGAAAAATAAAAAACTGGAGACTGAAAAGTCCAAAATTCGTAAAATCGAATCTTCATAAAACTGAAAAATCGAAGAACCGGAAAATTGAAAACTTTAAAAGTTGAAAAAGTTAACTGTGAAAACTGAAAAAACGACAAATTTCGAACCGCAAAAATGAATAAATGGAAAACTGAAAGACTGAATAACTAAAAAATCGTAAAACTAAAGAAATGAAAAACTGAAAAAAACTGAAAAATTTTAAACTAAACTCGAATCGAAAATTACAGAAAATTGAAAAATAAAAAAATTGAAACGAATACTTAAGATATCTAAAAACTGAAGAATCAAAAATTGTGAAGTCAAAAAATTGCATTGTAAAAAAAAATCGAAAATTCGTAAAATCTAAAAATCGATGAACCGGAAAATTGAAAAATTCTAAAGTTGAAAAATTTTACAGTGAAGACTTGACAAATTGCAAACCGCAAAATTAAAAATCTGCAGACTGAATAATTGAAAAATTAAAAATTGAGGCAACTAAAAATTAAATGATTTAGAAATTGATAATCGAAAAATTACAAACAAAATATTTAGAAATTAAAAATCGAAAAATTCAAAATTTGTAAAATAGAAAAATTGAATATTCGAAAAATTACCGACAAACTAAAAAGTCGAGATTTTAAAAATGAAGAAATTGAAAATCGAAAAATTAAAAACATGAAAACTGCAAAATCAAAGCTGGAAACACGAATAATCGAAATATCAAAAAATTAAAATATCAAAAAACTGAAGAAAAATTTTAAACTGAACTCTCAAAAACTTGCGAATCCAAAATTACAAAAAAAAAGTGAAAATAAAAAAATGAAAACGAAGAATAATAATATTTAAAAATTGAAAAATCAAAAGAATATACAACCAAAAAAAATTAAATATCGAAAAATTAAAAAATCCAGAAACTGAAAACTCCGAAAATTAAACATCCAGAAATTGAAAAATAAGGAAACTGTAAAATCTAAAAATTGAAAAATCGAATAATTAAAATATCTACATATTGAAAAAAC